TTAGGTATGCGGGAATATGAGCACCATAATATTTGGCTCTATAAATTAGGCCCCTCTGCGGATTTTATTGACCATTCGGCTTATTTTCTTTGTTGAACTTGAGATTTTAACTTTTTTACTCATTACCCTTATTATTGTTGCTCTCACTTTTGTTATTACTTTATTATAGTAGCTGTAATCGCATTATTTTATTATCTTTACTCTCGGAAGCAGCACCAGTAAAAAAAAAAAAAAAAAAAACGAGACGCTTAAAAATCTTACATTTACGCCAAATCTCACCTTTTTTTTTACCATAATTAACAAAAGCAGATTAAATAGTCATCCTTACAAATCCGGGATTTGTATAATGAATAATTCGTAGCAGAAATCATTATAATCATCTGATTGGTGACGTTATTGTTATAGGTTCTGTGGCGTCTTGCCGGCAATTACTTCGGAAGCGGTTGGGACCGTTTGACGGGTCGCATTCTCTGCTGGATAAACACTTTACGCTAAAAAATATTCTCAAAAATATGCGGTTTTGTCAAAAATTGGTTGATTCGGACGAGAAAACGTTGGACAAAGATGTGGTAAAAGCAGTGCCACAGGTGCCCATGAATGATGTACTCAGTGATGAATTTGTTGAGTCACTTGGTGATGAAGATGACTGTGAAGTGATCGATGACTGTTTAAGGATGCCGTGGGGTCGAAGTTATGCTTAGAGTAGTGGCACGCCGTTAATTGTGTTTGCTATAAACCCGGTTGTATTTCCAGTTGTCGTGCTGTAATTGCTTTACTTAGTACTTCATAAACCAGGTGTTCCCCAATGATTTGTAACCCTCTTTTGTCCTTACAGCTGATCCCTAGTTCATCTCCCCGGCGCATGTCCACGGATTTTTCGAATTTTTCATACCAACTTCCATCTTCTCTCCGATTTACGTCCCACTTTGCAAACCTCCTCCCCCCCAAAATGAAAACTTAGTTCAGCTGAAGGTGGTAGAGCGTGAAGAGAATAACCTCTTCGAAATGTAGACATGTTAATGTGCTTTCTTATCCCTTGTTGGTATTGGCAACGCCCTGGTACAACAGTTGCAAAAAACGCATATTGTCACGGTGTTGTCCGTGTGTGTGTGTGTTCGCAGCAACTTGTCCACAATTTTCAACTCGAGAACCGCAAAAGCTGGGAAGCTTAAAATTTAGAGAGATGTTCCCCGTCCACGGTGATCCCGCAAATTTAAATTCAGCCTTCCCGTACTCACGCGTAACATCCCTTCTCCTGTAAAAATTTTGGCGAGAAAATTTCTATCTCGGGAACCATGGAAGCTACGAAGCTGAAATTTTGTGGATATATTCACTGATCACATACGACCTCTCAAACTGAAATTCAGCCTTCCCCTGTGCAGAGATCACGTGCGGCCCCATAAGACTTTTGGCTGGTAAATTATCTCGGGAACCACGGAATCTAGAAAGCTGAAGTTTTAGAGCAGTAACCTCCTGCCTACGTACGACCTCTCAAATTCAGCCTTCTCCTACGTCCGAGTATCACTTACGGCCCCACAAAAGTTTCGGCGAGGGAAATTATTATCTCGGAACCGGAATTTGGGAGTCTGAGATTTTAGGGTGATATCTTCTGCCAACGTACAACCTCGCAAGTTTGGATTCAATCTTCATGCACCCTTGAGTACTACGTATTGTCCTGTGCAAGTTTTGTTAGATTATTATCTCGTGAGTTGCAAAAACCAAAAAGCTGAAGTTTTAGTGTGGAATCTCTTGGCCACATACGATTCCGCTAATTTCTGAAGTCCCTGGAAATTTTTGCGAGAAAAATCTGCCTCGGGAGCCAAAAGAGCTAGGATGCTGAAGATTT